TGATGAAACATTTGTAAAAGTTCAAATAAAATATGTACGCATATGAAGTATATACATATACAAATGGAATATGTACATTAAATATATATATATGATATATGTATATAGATCGATGCGAATTGAGCTGTTAGCCAGCCTCGGTTTTCATTTGCCTTTGACTCATCTGTGCGTATTTTGTTTCATTTGCTTTTGTTGTATTGGGTTTTTCGCATTTATTGCCAGCATTAATCACACACCAACAACAACAACTACAACAACAACAACAATGTTAATAATACCTTTAATTTTATGGTCACGCCAAGTGTTTGGGGTAGCTCTGAGAGCTAGGGAGCGATTCGCCTGTTTGGGCTCCATTTTATGGGAAATATTTGTTGCTGTTTTTTTTTCTCATTTTTTTTCTACACACAATTTTGACAATTTATGCTTGGCCATTAAGCTAAACGTCAAATCGACGCTAAGGCGTAAGTTTTCGTTAATCGATGTTCAGGTTGAACTTGACGCCGACGTCGATGTCGACGTCGACGCAGCCAGTGGTGACTGTGCGAAATATCATGATAAAAGGCCAATGAACAGCTGTTAACTGATCGAGCGACAGAGCCGAAAACATATTGTTAAGAGACACAGCCGAGGAGCAAAGCAGTTGATCAAGAAACAGCAATTAAGCCCGAAAGGTTTATCAATGTGTAAGTAGTTTATGGAAACATATTTCTTAAGCTCTTAGTCTACTTTCAACTCGACTCGCTAAAAGTTGATTTATAACCATTGTAAGCGCTGTGTAGGAGGAGGGAGAACTTGCCAACCGTTTGGTATTCCCCAGTCGAATTTGACCTCAATTGAATGCACAGGACAATCAGAAACTGCAGTCAAAAACTTTCCAACAGTTGTGAAACATGAACATTTTGTGGCTTGTTTGATTTTGCCTAGAAATTGTTGCCATGACAGCGCCCCCAAAGCCAAGTGGCACAAACGTGCTGTAAGTATCTGCTGGAAACGAAATTCATAACAAGACAACCCGAACACACACACACACACACACACACAAAAGAGGAGAAGTTGTTATATCGTAAACAAAGACCTTTTCGCACCCCCAACTCCTAGAGTTTGGGCTGGCGCACAATTTGCATTTCACGGGGTAGAGTGGGGGAGTAGTTAGGGGCTGGGAGTTGGGGAGCCGAGCTCATACTCATACTCGCATCAGCCATTGTGTCAAATAAGCGCAAATGCTGAAAGCCGTTTGCCAGCTGCCATAAACTGTCTACGAGATGTTGAGCGTCAAAATGCACAGCAAACAATTTCAGCAAATGTCAAGTGGAGGAGAACGTGCCAGCCCATAGAGACGAGAGGCGAGCAGGCAGCAGATACACAAAGAGAAAAACATAAGTCAGATAGACAATGATAAGACTGCAGTCGGATTGTTCAATGTTTGCCGAAATCTTGAGATATTTATGGCTACGCAGGGCTAAATAAAGCCGTAAATGGAATGCGTAACCAAAAATCTTTGACGTAAGACCTGAAAGAGATTTATTTTCTTGAGTCATATGTACGATCTTTGACGTAAAAACTGGAAAAAAAAATTTACTTTATTGACACTGCTCTGCAAGTAAATATTAATTTTAGTCCATTTACCT